GTGAATTACACCTCAATATCTATTAAATAAATCTGGATCCATTTGTAGCAGAGCATTGTTTTTTTTATGTTTTTTTTTTTTTACTATTTTTACCATTTCTGTTAGTGAAGAGCACCAGTCTCCCTTTGTTTTTGCTGAGTTGTTCACAAGCAAAGGGAGAGAAAGTAATTCTTACCTACTATATAAAGTCAGTCAGATTCAAAATGATAGTTCTTTGGAACTGTGCATTACTTTTTACCTGTAATCTTTAAATTGGCCATGGCCATTTCTGTTTGCTTTATTAATTCATCTTTTGCAACAATTTGTTACAGTACATCAATTACACATGGAAGCTCTCACTCCAAGTAGCTATGACTATTTGTAGACAGTTTGCTGAATCTAAACCTATTGCAGTGAATATATGCAGGAAAGCTGAATAGCCTGTCTGAGAAGCCATGCCCTTGGCTGTGATCATATCAATATTTGTCCAAGATTTGGACTTGTCGGTCTTAGATTCATAGAGAAAAAAATGACATGATAGTGGTATATGAGAAAGAAGCCTGCACATGGCTAAGAGTATATACTTTCTTAGGATTGGGTAGCAACAACCCAAACCTTCTCCCAATACAGAAGGAGTACAAAAAGGGTAGAAGAGAGATGTAGGCAAAAATCATATATTATTATACAAATAAGCGTCTGTATTAACTTTTGTTTGTGATTCTTCTCTGGAATTTTCCTTTGTTTCTGTTTCTTCTGTTCACTTCATTGTAAACTGAAATCTCTGCCAAGTATCAAAGAAATATTGCCAAATAATCATGGAGTTCTAATCACTGTTATTCAGGAATGGAAGACTAGTTTATCTTATATCCGACGATGTTAGTAAAAAAAAATCCACAATGTAATTATGATTCAAATTTAATTTAATTAATTTATTTTAAAGTGTAAAGCATTCTATTTTTTATTGTAAGAATACCGTGCAGAGGAGTTACAATTACATGGGCAAGATTACGAATACATTCCTTATGAAGCATTGTTTTCTCCTCTTTGTTTCCCCTTCCCATCCCTTCCAATACTAGCCCAGTTCCCTCATCTGATCCTCCCCCTATCCCCCACCAACGTTGTAAAGTTCGTTTTTCGATGTAACAACCTGTACATCTCATTGTTGCAATGGGTCCTCCTGTATCCCTAGTTAAACTATTTTATTTTAAAATAAAATTGAAAAGGAAAAGAACACAATGGAAAGAGGTCAATCCTTTAAAAAATACCATTGATTTCTCCAAAAGCAAGATTAATAGAGAGGGTTGTTCTGATTAAAAGATGATATATAACCTGACACCTGTGGCTCACTACTGTAATCCTAACTATTCAGGATGCTGAGATATAAGGATAGTGGTTCAAAATCAGCATGGCCAGGAAAGTCTGTGACACTCTTATCTCCAATTAACCACAAAAAAGCTGTAACTGGAGCTGTGGCTTAAGTGGTAGAGAGAGAGAATTGAACACAAATACTTAGGGACTTTGGTCTTTCCCAGAGTTCAAGCCCTAGAACCAGCAAAAATGAAACAGAAAGGAAATATGATTTATGCAGCGGTGAGATACCATGGTGAAAGCCCTTGGTACAATTAATATATATATGGAATAAATGAATGACAAGAGAATGAAATAGGTTCTGTTGGTATTTTATGGAGGGAGGACTACGAATAGAGGAAGTTCTATGAAGGTGAAGATTATTGAAGTGCTTCTCTGGAATATATGAAAAACCCATGCAACTGCTTTAAGAAGGGAAATATGGGGATAAGGATGAGAGATCAAGGGTGTGAGGTTAATTGAGTACATTGTATGCATGTGTGGAAATGTCACAATGAAATCCTTCTTGTACAGTTAATATATGCTGACAAAGACTAGTGTATGTCTAGGACAAGCAGAAAAGCTCAAAAGCTATGTACATATGATCATATAAAATGATGCTAAGCAAAATGGATACCAAGATAGGGATGCAAATAGTTTTATCTTTCTTGCAGTTTTTTAAAATATATTTATAATGTACTGTGTGATTGTTTTGTTTCTTTTGTATGTTCTTCCTCCATGGTGTAACGCCTGTTTTCACTGTATTTGATTCTGGTGCCCTGCATCTTGTATATACATTTTTCTAATTTGGGGAGGGGAATGTAAGGATACAGGTTGGCTCATTATAACAATGACAAGACACTATTTGAAACCAAACTTTACAACTTCATTGGGGGAGGTGTGGGAAGGGAGTAGTTGGGGAAGTGGGGAGAAAAGGGACAGTAGGGGAAAACCAAAGGAGGAGATAACAATGCTCGATAGGAATTGTACTCATTACCTTACTCATGTATCTGTAACCCTTATGTACAGTATTTTTACAATAAAATACATAAAAAAGAATTTAAAAAGAAATTAAATGTATTCTTATTCTGTTGCAGTATAAAAACAGTGGTCAAAAATTGTATGTGTTACTGTTTTTTTTTTTAACAGATATAGCTCACTATGTCATTGTATTTTCAAAAAGATCTCAGTTTGAAGTCACTGAGGTTCTCTTAACCAGACATGGGGATTCAATCTTTAACCTTAATCACTGTACATACCATGTTTATGAACTTGTGAAGAGATGGCTGTAGATGAATGATCTCAAGACACAAAAATTCCAAGAAAAAGAATACTTTAATGGTCATAATGGCCATAATGGCTCACACCTATAGTTCAACCTCTAGAGAACGGTAGGAATATGGTTCCAGTTGAGTCAGAACAAAGTAGTCAGACCACATCCCAATAATCAAGCCACCAAGAAACAGGTTTTTAGTTCGGTCTTAAATTTTGTGTTCTTATTGCTTGTGGTGATCACATACCAATCATGTGGATGAATGTCTCTCAGATTAGAGTTGTGCCTTTTACCCCTCAGAGTTCTGTCAGTAATGGATATTTGTGAGCAAAGTCCAGAAGTGCTGCTAAGTTCTGTAAGGACATCATTACTGATGATCTTTATTTCAATTCTAGATTAAGATGTTGGCTATTGGATTTCTCTGCTATATAGTTGTTCTTTTTCCTTTGAAATTGCGAGGATTTGTGGAGAAATATATGGTGGTTTATGGATATCACATCCCTAGTGAAAATATCACTACTAATCCAAGGACTTCAAATTTATTTCATGGAATACTTTGGTATTTATTCAATATTCAAAAACTATCAAAATTGGCCAATGGGCATTCCTTGTTAGCTGATTTCTCTTCACTCTTTCCTGTACATCATCCAATATGAATTTGTAGTTTGTGACAACAAATGATCCAAACTCATCTTCCTCTTTTCCTATTTTTGATAAAGAAATAAACTGTTCTGCAAAGGTCACTGATTTTATTTATGAGAGAAAAAATGAGGTCCATTAATGAAGGTGCTATCCATTATTAAAGCAAAAGCATCATTACTTCTAGATTAGAAAAAATTAACCACTTGTGCATCTATTCATCTATATGTATATATATGTATATATGTATATATAGACATTCATATATACATATGTATACATATGTAAATTTATGGTAATTACTTCACTCACATAAAAAATTAAGTTATTATTAAATGAATTCTTAGAAAAAATTTCTGATTTTCTTTTTTCCAGAAAATATTCAGTATAAAAATCTTTGAAATATGTCACTAACATTAGATGAAATTTTCATTTAATTAGCTTATATTTTTTTTACCTCAAGAATACAAATATTGGCTCTAATTTTCCCTCATTAATTTAGTCATATGATCAGCAACTCTTCTGGATGATATGAAACTCTTGGTGTTACTGCCACTTACATGATCAGATCATACATCCCCTGTGCCACCCCCAGATTTGTTCAGACATTCTTCAGCATGTGATAATATGGATAAGATGAGCTAACTTTGTATCCCATGCAATAGTGACTTCCTGAGCCCTGACAACTGCACAGGCAAATCCAACACATATGGATGTCCTTGTAGGTCACTCCATCTCAGCAGCTACAATGGAGTCAACAATGCTATTTCTCACTTGCACAGAAAATCAGCTCTCCCATGTTGCCTCCTCCCAATATGGATGACATTTCCATGTTCTATTGATTTCAAGACTCTGTTCAGAGATTCCAACATACTCACTCTTTTTGGGCCAAATATCTTTACCAAGGTGTGCAGCACAGTGTTCTCTTAGGAACTAGAAGAGTCCACTGAACAGGAGACATATGTAGGTTTAGGCCACAAAATAGGCTTCAAGATAACCTGAGTGTATCCTCCCTTTTAAGGAGAATCTATCTCTGCTTCTGAACATAATAGTTGAGGTAAAGATATTTAAAAGCCAGAAGGAATAATATGAGGACCTTCAGCATGGACATAAGAAATTATACGCATTTCTAGGTCATTAAAAACTATAAAGGCTGTTCAGACATGAAGGGAGAAAGGCTCTGAAAGGACGTGCTTGTATGGATCACCTGGGACAAAAACTCAGAGATGGAGGAGATAATAAGGCTGAACAGCACAGTACAGAAGTCCGGGCATTTTCTTATCAATACAACAGCTACACTAATTCCACCTCCATGGACTGAATTCATTACAAGACAACAGTGCTGATAAATTGACACATACAGATTATCAATGAATCAGAACTACTCTAAAAATTTCTGTTCCATATAAAAATAAAGAAATTCCAAATTTGTGTTGTGCAAAATTTGTTTGTAAATTTCAAGAACTAACACTCCAGTGAACAAGTCTTGACTCAGTTAAAAAAAAATAAGAAGAAAAGAAGCTTTGATCCTCAAAGCTACCATTGTTGTGCTCACATCACAGGAAAGCAACTTGGTGATTCTCTTCTGTGTTTAAAACTTATTCTGTTGCCCGACCTAGTTCCCTTGAGACTCAGAATGTGCAGAGCTGCTGAGATGTGGCAGCTGGACAGCAGTGTATAACTCTGCTGCTGATTTGCATGCACCAACAGCACAGCCCAGTATGCTCAGGACTTCTTCATAGGCTGCTCACAATAGGCAGTAATCATTCCAAGTCAGCACACAGCATGGACATGAGGACCCCTTCTCAGCTCCTGGGGATCCTGCTGCTCTGGCTCTCAGGTAAAGAAAGACAATGCTAGGGATTAACACAGCTCAGTGTGATCCAGGATGCTTACTCTTCAGGGATGCCTTCTTATAACTTGATAATTAGTGTGGATATTTGTTTTCATGTTTCTGCTTCCAGGTGCCAAGTGTGATATCCAGATGACCCAGTCTCCATCTTCACTGTCTGTGTCTCTAGGAGACACTGCTACCATCACTTGCAGGGCCAGTGAGAACATTGCATATGCTTTAGCCTGGTACCAGCAGCAACCAGGGAAAGCTCCTAAACTCTTGATCTATGATGCAAATAGTCCGGAGTTCCATCAAGGTTCAGTGGGAGTCAATCTGGGACAGAGTTCACTCTCACTATCAGTGGCCTGGAGCCAGAAAATGTTGCCACTTATTACTGTCAACAGGGTTATAGTAACCCTCCCACAGTGATACAAGCCATAACAAAAACCTCCCAGGGAAGCTGAAGTGTGAGTCTGGGCTGACCCAGCTACTACTCCTGCTGCTCCACCTGCTCAGAATGTTATCAGAAAAGACCAGCTAATACTTGCAGAGTTCGACTTGTGACATCAGTTGATATTTATGCAATAATAAAATAAATAACTTGGTATTCTAAGCAGGAATTGCCTTTAAAACAAAGAATAGATTCATTGCTTTAGATTTTATTCCTTTATTTTATGATAGCCTATTTTTTATTAATGTACATATCTGTAACCACTAATAGGATTCTGGATTTCTCAATATATGTGTATTATGTGCATTGATCATAGTCTTCCATCTTTCTTCTGTGTTCAACCTCCTGCACTCTGATCCTGTGCTCGTCAGCCCCATAGAATCACTATTGCATCTTTTTTTTTAAATTTTGCTTGAGTGAGAAGCAGTATAGACAATGCTCTTTGTTTTTTACTATTTTTGTTAACAAAGTGTTCTCTACTTCTATCCATCATGCTGAAGACTATAAGATTTCTTGATTCTTTATGCATACTCTGTGTATATATATATATATATATACATACACACACACACACACACACACACACACACACATATATATATATATATATATATATATATATATATATATATATTTCATGGGGTTTGAATTCTGGACACTGGATACTGGAAACTGTCCCTGAGATTTTCATGTCAAGGCTACCACTCACCACTTGAGCCACAGTGCCACTTCTGGTTTTCTGGTGGTTAATTGGAGATAAGGCTCTCATGGACGTTTCTGCCCAGCTGGCTTTGAACTGCAACCCTCAGATTTAAGCCTCCTGAGTAGCCCCAGCTGTTTCATTTTAAAAGGCAATTTTTCCTAAATGATTTTTCCACTCAGGTGTCTTGTGTTTTAGTTCATCCAGAAATGAATGTAAACAAACAATATTCAGATTTTTAGGCACAAATTTAATTGTCTGGGAGCTCTGTTTTGAAGTTGGACTCCTTCAATTCTTCTGCTTGATTTACCAATAGTAAGTCCTCATCTTGTACTGATCGTCAGCAGATCACTTCGACCCTTCACCTCACATTTCTCCACATAAATCACAAAACAACTCTTGTGTGGACTGTCTGTTCACATATTCAGAATCCCTCCACCTTCCTAAAAGCAGCAGGGTTGTACCCCTGTGGATCTGGGGAATGGATAACCTGTCGTGGAATGATGGTCAAGAGGATAGATCTGAGGAAGAAAGCCACAGAGCCTATAAAATTTAAGCTTTGAACTTTAGTTTAAAACTTTTGTGGGGGGGAGGGGGGAGGCTGGGAAGGGATGTGAAGGGTAAACAAAGGAGGAGGCTGCAATGCTTGGTAAGAAATGTACGCATTATCCTGCCCATGTAATTGTAACCTCTCTGTACAGTATGTTCACAAATAAAATAAAATAAATTAAAAAAAAATCTTTTGTGGTCATGAGGGTAATATCGATTGGAAAAGATGATTCCATTTTAATTACATCTTTATTATCTTTAACTAGTAAGATAAGAAATTGCCATTCAACAAGTCAGATTTGAGTAAAATAATATCATTCTCTCCTGTCCCTCCAAGGAAAGTTGATTCTTTTTTTAAAATTCAATTTTATTGTCAAAATAAGGAACAATGGGGATACAGTTACATATGTAAGGTAGTGAGTACATTTCTTGTTGAATATTGTTACACTCTCCCCCATTTTCCTCCCACTTTCCCACCCTCATCACACCCCACCAAGTTGTAAGGCTCATTTCCAACATATTGTTTTGTGAGTATCACTGTTGCATTATTTCTTTTTATTTATTTATTTTTATTGTGTGAATACTATACAGAGGAATTACCATTACATGGGCAATATAACGAGTACATTTCTTATCAAGCATTGTTGCCTCCTCTTTGTTTCCCCTTCCCATCCCTTCCCATCCCTTCCCATACTCCCTGCTCCCCCCCCACCTGATTCTGACCCACCCCCCACCAAATTTGTAAAGTTCATTTTTCCACATAACGACTTGTACATCTTGTTTTTTTTTTCTATTTTCCCCTATGGTTTATCCCCTGTTGTCTGTATTTTATTTTGGTGCCCTGTGTACTATATATGCATTTATTTGAATTAAGGAAGGGAAAGGTAACAACAAAATGATGAGACAAAGGACAAAATTGATGCTTGAATTGTCCTATCTATCAGAATGTCTGAAGGAGAGCTATGCCAGAGATCTAATTTCTGGTGATCAAAGGAAGATATCAAAATGGCAACGTATACTTACTGGGTTGTCAAAATGGGACTGTTTGGCATGAAACTCTGATTATTGTTGTTACACTCTGAGGGCCTAATTGAAATAGAAGATGGGAACTTGAACCAAGACACTGTCCTTTACATAGAGTCCTTTTTGATCCATCAGTTCTCTGCCTTCTGGTGTTCTTAGATTCCTGGCAGCACTTTTCATCTCTGCTCTCACTCTCTTCCTCTCTGTGTCTCTGAACTCAGGATAATAACCCAGGTGATGTGATGCTGATTTTTGTCTTACATAGGGATGGTAAAGGGAAACAAAGGAGGAGGCAATAAGAAATGTACTCATTACCTTGTTCTTGTAATTGCAACCCCTCTATATAGTATTTTTACAATTAAAAAAAGAAAAAGAGAAGAAAAAAGAGAGAGAGAACTGGAAACAGCACATGTCTTGGAGCTCATTTTGATAAGCATCATTTTATATGGTCATTTTCACATAGCTATTGAACCCTTGTGTTCTGTTCCTAAGAACATACTCTTTTGTTCTCATTGTGGGAATGTTTAGACTATTGTTATGTCTATATGTAATGATTTGTCTTTTAGTATCCATTGGGTTTACTTGTAGATTTATAGGCACATCCTATGTTACTAGGTGTCAGGCTTGCTTTAATGAGTACGACTTTTTCCAAGGCTATTATAATTTTTATCCAATGTATCTTATCATTGGAGGCAAATAAGAACAATTTTACAGGTCTTCAAATCTGAAGTCAAACAAGAATACCGATGATCCTAATTCTTCCACCTGTACAGTCAGATGGTACAAAGGAACAGACGGGGATTTTCCCTAAGCCAATCAGCATTTCTTTCTTCAGCCAAACTCATGCTTTCTGTCATTCACATTGATCAACATTCTGTGGAAAAGTAGCAAAGAAGTGGGCTCTCTCAGTTAGCTCTGTCCTCTATGCTTTCTTCACACTCCTGGATTCTGTGTTTATTCATCATTTGATGGGTTAACAATGGAGTGGTGTTACTGGGACGTGGTAAAAGCACCTAGTTGGAGGAAATACATTTGTGGGACTGTCCTTGGGACTAAATCTTGCCCTCTCCTCTTCCTATGTAATTTTGAATTTGTGTTTGCCATGAGTTGAGTAGCCTCTACTAGATGGTCCAACATCATGATATTCTGCCTTTCCATAGGCCAAGGAAGCTAAGGATGGTGAACTGAAATCTCTGACACAATGAGCCCAAATGAATACTGTCTTTCTTCCCTTAGGTTGTTCCTGTCATGTACTTGGGTTCAGACACACAAAAATTAGGAACTCACCTATATATTCTGACTAGCAATCTCTACTTTAAACAGATAAGAAGGATCCATACAAAGCTTCAGAAACTAGGCTTTAGCACATGCTTATTTTGGCTAAGAAGAACTTAACTTGGAAAAAGTTATTTAGATATGCACAACTCCTTATCAATACCATGATCTCAGGCCTCAAAATAATAATAGTTTTAGAAACTTGGGGATATATCAAGATTAAACAATTACTAAGCATTTTGCATAAAGGTCACAGAAGGAAATAAGTAGCTTGAAGTTGAAGCTATATTGGCAAATCATTATCACAAAGCTATCTAAAAGAAATCTAGGCATTGTGCCATACCCCCTTTTACTTATGGCTACAAGGGAGGTACAGATAGATGGAACATGGTCTTACCTCTATCTGATAGACAAAAACTAAAACAGAAAAGGCTAGGTGTATGGCTCATGGAGTGTGGGAGGTTGGGGAGGGAAGGGGTTGTGGGACAACAACAAGGGAATGGGTAACAATGATCGAAAAATAATGTACTCATCGCCTTATGCATATAACTGTACCTCTGTATAGCATCTTTAAAATAAAATTAAATAAAAATGAAATAAAAAAGAATTGCTTGGCAAGCTCAAGGCTTTGGACTACAGACCCTTTAAAAATGTGCTCCTGTGTTGGGTATTTTGTGACCTGAATTTCTCTATGCACCTTGATCTCTAGATGTTGCTTATGAACTCTACAAGTGACTCTTGGGCCACTGAGGAAGATCTAACAAAATCCATGTCAGAGGCAAACTGAGTGACCTGCGACACAAGAGCTCCAGTCGGATCAACAGTCATTAAGAGTGTGAATAGTCTTCAGCAGGTGGCTCATGCCTGTAAATCTTAGCTACTCAGAAGGCTGACATCTGAGGATGTCAGCAGGAAAGTCCATGAGACTCTTATCTCCAATTATCACTAGAAAACCAGAAGTGGACATGTGGCTCAAAGTGGAGAGTGCTAGCCCTGAATTCAAGCTCC